TATGCTTTAATTATGTTCAATTTGTAACAATGAAATTGGGGGTCACCACAACATGAGGAACTGTATTAAAGGGTCGAGGCGTTAGGAAGGTTGAGAACCACTGCTCTAGAGCATGGGATGTGTGCCAAGCGCAGGGTGGGGACCCCTGAGCCAGACCAGGGGGAGGCAGGATGATGGTGAGAGCTGGCTGCTCTCAAGCATGGGCTCGGGATGGCACCGGGCACAACCAACTCACAGAGACTTGGTGCCCCCACTTCCCAGGGAGGGAAGACAGCGTGTCTGAAGTCTCCCGGGGGGAGATAGAGGTTTGCAATTCCAACCAATTACTTTAGGTTGGAAAACCCAGGATCTTTATTTAGTTGTACGGCCACTCGGACCAGGCTGGGGCTGGGGAGGTTGAAGGTGGGCGCGCACCTCTGTCCCCCGCAGTCCCAGCGCCTGGGTGCTGACCTGGCTGAGGAAGGGCGTGGTGAAGGTCATCCCGCAGCCCGTCCATAGCATTGCGGCCGGCTTCGAGGGCCCCGATCAGGTACTGCTGGGTCTGGGAGGGTCTGTGCGGAGGGGGCCCCGGGAGGCTGGCGCACCTGGGCTCTCTGCCCACAGCTGTCCGTCTGTCCGTCCCCACAGGCAGGAGCTCAGATCCTTGGGCACTGCAGCACTGGGGCCTCAGGTAAGGCCAGGAGGGAGGATGGCTTTACAGAGGTGGGGCTGAGGGGCCATTGGCATGGGCCTGGCCCTGGCTTCAAACCTGGTTTTGAGTTGGGGTGACCGGGGGGCTCTGGGCCGGCCTCTTGCTGCTGACCGCCATGCCTTCTTCTGCAGATGGATCCAACGAGGCCTCCAGGGCAAAGGACACTGGGTGAGTCCCCAGCCCTGAGCGCTGGTTTGGGTGCCCCTGAGCCTCATCTGTAGAGTGTGTGTGAGGGTGGGGGGTATTGAGGGGGGATGGGAGAGGGGGACCAGTGTGCACAGAGCCCAGGGTCTTGTGTTTAAGAGCAGGGTCCACCACCACCTCAGTGTGTGACCTTGGACATGCCGTTGGTCTCTTCTGGGCCTCAGTTTTCTCATCCACAAAATGGGGCTATGGGTCCTGTGCTGCCCATGGCTTGTTGTGTTGATTCCTGGGAGATCCCCAGGCGGGGGCACTTTCTGAGGATGGGAAGAGGTGTGGGTGAGCTACTCACAGGGTGGGCTTCGTGTAGGCCAGGGGTCCTCAAACTTTTTAAACAGGGGGCCAGTTCACTGTCCCTCAGATCGTTGGAGGGCTGAACTATAGTTTTTTAAAAAAGCTATGAACAAATTCCTATGCACACTGCACATATCTTATTTTGAAGTAAAAAAACAAAACGTGAACAAATACAATATTTGTATTTGCATGTGGCCCGCGGGCCGTAGTTTGAGGACCCCTGGTGTAGGCAATGCCGTGTGGAGCCCAGAGGCAGAGCCTGGGCCACCGTGGGGGACATGGGGGCACCTAGGTTGGCCTCATAGTTGTCAACAGTGTAGAACTTGTCAGAGGTGACCGAGGGGGTGGCTGCCTTGTCATCAGGGGGACAGGCTGGGTGAGGAGCCCGTGTCCTTCTCCAGGGAGGGGCCTGCTCAGTTCCAGGTGCCTCTGCCCTGTAGGAGTGCGGGCCCGGGGAGGCCAGATCCTCCAGTTTTTCAAGAGAAGCTAGAAAATACAAGTACCATATGGTTTCACTTAGATGTGGAATCAGAATAACAATATAAGTGAACAACCAAAACAGAAACAGACTCATAGATACAGAGAACAGACTGTTGGTGGCCAGCGGGGAGGAGGGCTGGGGGACTGGGTGGAAAAGGTGGGGGGATTGGGAAGTATAGTTTGGTAGTTACAGAGTAGTCGTGGGCCAGCCCAGGGGAGATAGGCAATAGTATTGTAATAACCACGTATGGTGGCAGGTAGTACGGGGGTATGGGGAGAGCACTGTGTAAAGCATATTACGCTGTACACCCGAAACGAATACAAAATAATACTGGATGTAAACTGTAATTGCAAAAAAGGGGAGATGCTGGAAATGTAGGCTTTAATGTCAAACTGCCAAGTCATTGAAAAGTTGTCAGAACAGTGTGGGCTCCCCAAATAAACCTGAAGCCTCCAGTTTGCAATCTCTATGGGAAATCCAGTCATGGGTTCATCTCCATTTACCCGTTTGTTCAACCCTTCCCTCATTCATTCTTTTAAAAATATATACATGTATATTTATTGATTTCAGAGAGGAAGAGAGAGGGAGAGAGAGATAGAAACATCAATGATGAGAGAGAATCACTGATCGATCGGCTGTCTCCTGCATAACCCCCACTGGGGATTGAGCCGGCCACCTGGGCATGTGCCCTCTGTGGGAATCAAACCGTGACCTCCTGGTTCCTGGGCTGGTGCTCAACCACTGAGCCACACGGGCCAGGCCTGAGGTCCTTTGAGAATATTCAGTACAAGGCTCCCGCTGGGCAGAATGGGAGCCAAGGGCTGGGAGGGGCTGGGTGAGGCGGTCAGGACAGCGTGGCTGGCCACTCCTCGGGCCGCCTGGCTGACCACTGGCCGCTCTGCAGGCCTGTGCCCTGGCTGCTCAGGTGGTTTGAGCAGAACCTGGAGAAAGTGCTGCCTCAGCCTCCAAAAACCTCCGAGGTAAGTGGAGGAAAAGGGGCGGCAGGAAGCTGACCACCTGGGCGGGTTTCTGGGGTCTCAGGCAGTCTGTCCCCACCCCTTCCCTGGAGGCTCCCTGATGGGAGGAGTGATGGAGGAGGGGCTGGATTCAGGGGAAGGGTGGGCGGGCGCACAGCTGGCCAGGGGAGGGGTGCGTGGGGCCAGCCTTGCTCCGTGACCTCTCTCCCTGCTTATGATCCAGGGCTGCAGAGACCAGCCTGCAGACGCTGCCTTGGGCCCAGGTACAGCAGGGGACCTGCGAAGGGGCTGTCTGAGATGGTCACAGGCTGGGTGGGGTAGCGCTGGGGCCTAGGGATCCCGGCTGGGGGTGGTTTCAGGGCTTGCTGGCCTATTGTGGGGGCACTAGGACCCCCTCCCCAGGCCCGGCTGGGAAGCCAGTGGCCTGGGACAGCCTAGTGAGGTCTTGGACAAGTCCTTCTCTCCCTGGGCCTCAGTCCCATGTCTGTCTGCTGATGGGGATGGTTGGGGGATCCCAAGGGGCTCCCCATTCGGTCATGGTTACCCCTCAGTCTGGTCCCCTGCGCCCTTAAGGGGTCCCATGTAACCCGGCCATGTCATTTGAATCTCCTCCTCTCCCTGCTGCTTAGAGCCCCCAGGGTGCCCCTTGGAAGCAGAGCCCGTGCTGCAGGCCCCGGAGAGTCCCCCCCTGCCCACTCCTGGCCCCCCGGAGCCCGAGGAGGAGCCCGAGGAGCAGCCCGAGGAGGAGCCCACTCCAGAGCCCCAGCCCGGCTTCCGGGCTTCCTCCCTGCCACCCCCCGGGGACACTGCCAGGTGAGCCCCCCTAAATGCCACAGCTCCCGTGGGGAGCAGCCCAACACCCAACCTTCAGCAAACTCTTTTTTAAATTATAAAAGTGACACATGCCCCTGGGAGAAAACTCAAAGGGGTTTCCAGGGCCCCTGCCCAGGGCCACCCCAGCAGCAGCTTCTCAGCCTGGGCCAAAGGATACATGCATTTAAAATCGGGCTAGGGCCTGGCCGGCGTGGCTCAGTGGTTGAACATTGACCTATGAACCAGGAGGTCACGGTTGGATTCCCAGTCAGGGCACATGCCCAGGTTGTGGACTTGATCCCCAGTCGGGGATGTGCAGGAGGCAGCCAATCCATGATTCTCTCTCATCATTGATGTTTCTATCTCTGCCTCTCCCTTCCTCTCTGAAATCAATACAAATATATACAAAAAATAAAATAAAATCGGGCTAGGTACTGACCAGTTCCCCGCCTGGCAATGGGCGAGGGGCCTGAGGGGCACCTGCAGTTGATTGGGGTGGGGGTGGGGGAGCCTGAGCAGTAGCCTGGGACTTGCCTAAGGAGGCGGTTGGGGGGAGAGGGACCATGGTCTTTGGGGCTGGAGGCCTGGGTTCTGGTCTGCCTTCTGGGGGGCTTGCTGTCTGCCTTGGGTGTCACTTTCCCCCTGGACATGGCTACTCTCTCCCACCCACAGGTTGGTGGCGTGGCTCCTGCATAGACTGCAGATGGCTCTGCCACAGCCCGTGCTCCGTGGGAAGGCTGGGGAGCAGGTGGGTGCTGGGCTAGGGGAGGGAGGGCCGGATGGGGGCAGGAGTGGGATGGTTGGTCTGTGTCTCAGGGGGGCCATCGTACAGAAGGAGCCCAGCCCGCCCAGCCCGCCTGTCTGCCCTGCCCCGCCATTCTGCACTCTCTCAGGCACCATGTCTGCGGGGCTGAGGGGGCCGGCTCAGCCCTGCCTGCGAGAGGTCACAGTCGGTGGGGGAGGTGCTACCATGGTGGAGCAGAGAGGATGTGGGGTGCAGAGGAGGAGCCTCCCGGGAGCATGACGGAAGGCTTCCCAGTGGAGGTGGCCTGCGAGCTGAGCCCTGAAGGAGTAGGACCTGGGTGGGTGACAGTGAATGTGGGCGATTGGAAAGGGCCCTCAGGCAGAGGACCAGCATGTGCAGAGGCCAGAGGTAAGAGAGGACTGGCACGTTCTGGGGGAATGGGCTGTAGGAAGCCCGAGGCTCTGTGTGCCTCCTGACAGCCTAGGACTCCAGCGCGGGTGGGTTTGGGGAGCAGGGCCCCGGTCGCCTCTTCCCCTCCAAGAACCTGGCCCCTGGCCCTTCTCTCTTGGGGACAACTGGACACCTTCATAGAAGCACCTGGAACTGGGGGTGGGCGGCCTGGGTCCCGTCCTGCTGCGGCAGGGGGTGGAGAGCGACTGGAGCAGAGCGGACCTCGGAGGCAGGAGAGGAGAGGCAGGGAAGCGTGGGGCCCGGAGCAAGGGGATCTTCTGCT